AAGCGCATTATTTGTACAAATATATGTATTCAGTTAGTATTATCAGTAAGGTCAATTCAATGATTACTAAATATAAGGTAAGTTATTATATAATTTGATTGTTAATTTTTAAAATAAATTTTCTCATTAAATGTGTTAGACCCTGGAGTTTATTGAACGCCTAACGCACCCCATAATTGGCATCTACTGTCATAATTTATACCCACTGACCAGTCTACAATTTTTTAAGGTTTTTTTTTAAATATTATGTTATTTAACATTTAGTATTAATTGTATTTTAATTTTATAGTTTGTCATCGAGTGCATGGTTAATTTTTTATTAACGGTGAACGTTATGGAAAATTATTTTCAAATATAATCATTAATAATATTTTAGTAAATGGTGGCTTTTATGCTGAAGCAGGCATTTATTTTGCACTGAAAACTGTACACATAATCTAATCAATGCTTTTAATAATACCACATAATGTTTCTTATTTATGAAAAGTATTGATTAGGTTATGTATACAGTTTGCAGTGCAAAATAAATGTCCTTAATGTAGTTATACTCACAAACGTGGACATGATGTATATTTTCAATATTTTCTATTTTGACAATACATTATATTAATTATTTATTTATACGGTAGTTTGATTTATGTACAAATATTTTAAAAATGAATTTATTGTAATTAACATAAAGTATATCTCTTAAGTTTATACGATAGGCGCTCATTGGGATAGTCGATATTAATCGAAACCTGTGCTTTTCAATCATATACTACTTGCTAAAGGTATCGATATCGACTATCTATACTTTCCACAATGATGCCCTATCGTATAAACTTAAGNTGCTAAAGGTATCGATATCGACTATCTATACTTTCCACAATGATGCCCTATCGTATAAACTTAAGAGATATATTAAACAACTTATCCAATACTTTATTAACCACTTAAGTGAACACACTTTGGATGACTGACTCAAACTTGTCTATCAAGTGATCACTCTTTATGAAAGTAATTCTCGTCACAAACTCAGCATATTTTTGGTGTTGTTGGCCGTAGAATATTACCCCGGGTAACATGAGAATGTGCTGGGTAATCAGACAGATTGTAAGTATAACTAAATTAGCGTAATGGCAAAAGTTTATATATAGAAAACCTTGTGTTTTGCGAACCAAAGGCATAATTTATATCCAAACCTCTCGTCCGTTTCACTGGATATGTCTACTTTGTGGATAACATTAGTGAAATTGGCCATGATGAAATAACCGGCGTTAGGTGTGACCACTTCAATGCCCGATCCGTTCAATATCCGTAGGAATCTGTCCTTTGATGCATCGATTTGTGTCTAATCTCATGAAAATAGGACTCATTTAAATATACAATCAAGCAAATATTAAATATAGTTTTTAGTTGTCATTTATTTCGTGATAAAAATACATAGTTTTTACGTTCATATTTTTAGGCTTTCCGTCAATTGTGTGAGCCAAAATAATTTGTCTAATTGTCCCATAAACTCCATTTTCATGATTTATGAATTACTGCGATCAAATTTATACACTGGTTAATTTAAGTATTTTTTTTCATTTATTTACATATATACGTCACCTTTCAATTCAAATTCAAAGCAATAACAATAATTTAAAATATTTAACTTAACATGCTAATATTATTTAAACCTATTTGTCCAATATTCATCAGTAAACATAAAATAGAAATATTTTCTAATACAAAACAGTATACAAGTAATCTCTTACATACTTTTATCGATCATAAATGGTACAATATATATTTTCATTACATTTGATCATTATATAATAAAATCATAATGAATTATATTTATTGCTTTATTTTTGCGAAATTTTTGTGTCATTTACTCCAAAAAGAACGCGATTTATAAGTCACGAGAAATACATATAATAATTATATTATTGCCTATTCATGAATTCAAACAACAATTCTTAATTATAAAGAATATTCTTAATTACTAAAATCTGTTGTTTATTTGGTTTTTTGTAATACTGTACATATTTTATTATATCTACTAAAGTACTTTACTGTGTATTAGGATATTATTAACATAAACAGTATTAAATAAATTAATAAAC